GTGGTCTCCAAATCTTCTTGATATTACATATGAAGTAGGGTAGGTACAAGTGTTTCTAGCACCCTTATCTACACTGGCCCAAATGAAAACAATGCAGGTGTCCATCAGAGCGCCAATGTATAAACAGATGTGCCGTGTGTAGTCAGGCAGTGTAATATCACACCGAAGAATTTAAAAAAAAAAATGTGCTGCCTAGTGTGACACCACAAATGATCTTTACCCCTATTTGGAGGAGGCACAAAAGGCTGATACCTTCCCTCATATCCTCAGGGGATGAACTTTTGTGTAGACTTAAGCATGTTGTTTCTTGAACAAGTGAGGGGAGAGTGGGAAGGATTGAAAGCCATCCTTGCACTCTGGCCTGGGGATGGCTCCTTCCAGAGGCAAAGGCAGGGTTTTCTAATTCCACCAGAGGCATCCTGTGTGCTGCACTCAGAATGCCTCGCCTAGCAGGGACCTTCTCCACCAGCAGCCCGCTCTGCTCCCTCTGATCTTATCTACTGCGGTACCTCTCTGCTTTTCCTTCCTCTTCCCATTGGAAAGAGCCAAGAGATCTGAGGAGAGGGGCCACAGGAGCCAGGGAAGGAAGGTGTCGCAGTTAGATTTCTATTGCTGTGATGAAACATGAAGAGCAATATTAACTTGGAGGGGAAAAGGGTTTATTTCAGTGTACAACTCTCAGGTCACACTCCATCATGAAGGGAAGTCAGGGCAGGAACCTGGAAGTAGGAACTGAAGCAGAGACCATGGAGGAGTACTGATTACTGGCTTGCTCCTCATGACATGCTCAGACTTATAAAAACCAGGATAACCAGCCCAGGTGGGTAGTGCAACCCACAGGGAGCTGGGCCCTCCCACATCAATCATAAATAAAGAAAATGCACCACAGGCTTTCCCACAGACCAATCTAGTAGGGGTCATTTTCTCAGTTGAGGTCCCCTCTCCCAAATAGCCCTGGGGTATGTCAAGTGACATAAAACAAGTTAGCAGAGACAAAAGGACTTTTTTTTTTCAGAGTTGAGGACCGAACCCAGGGCCTTGCAGGGCCTTGTGCTTGCTAGGCAAGTGCTCTACCACTGAGCTAAATCCCCAACCCGACAAAAGAACTTAACTAGGGAGAGAACTAATTAGAGAAGAAATTCAAGGGAGTCCTTAATTACTAGGTGATCATCCCCATGCTACCCTTTTTGGTGGCTGTGGGCAGCTGCCTCAGAAGGCCACCTGCTCCTGCCCCTCTGAAACTGCAAGAATGAGGAGCACTGATGCTTTGGGACTCTTAAATGCAGAGTGGCAGGCAATGATGTTAAAATTTTGCCTTTACATATTCTTTAAAGTTTTATTTTTAGTTTATGCATATGAGTGCTTACCTGCATGTATGTCTGTGCATCACATGTATCCAATACCTATGGAGCCCAAAAGAGGACATCAAATCCCCTGGAACCAGAGTTATAGGTGGCTTTTGTTTGTTTTGTGAGCCATCTTGTGGGTTCTGAGAACCAAACCTGGGTCCTCTGCAAGAGCAGCCAGTGCTGTTAACTGCTGAGCCGTCTCTCCAGCCCTGCTGTATGTTCTTCAAAGACAGTTTTTTATTGTGATAAAAAATATGTAAAGTTGGCCATGCATAACATTTATGCACTCACTGTATGTTGTGTAGCCACGACATCTTCCTAGTTTAGACCATTTTCACACACACACACACACACACACACACACACAGAGAGAGAGAGAGAGAGAGAGAGAGAGAGAGAGAGAGAGAGAGAAACCCTGTATCCATCTTCTCTTCCCACCCACAGCCCTCTGAAGTCACTAGCATAGTCTATGACATTGCCTGCTCTGGACGTAATGGAATGAGACCACATGTGGTCTTTGTCATCTGACTTCTTTCATGATGTTTTTAAGGCCCAGCCATGATGTTGTGAGAATAAGGACCCTATTCCTTTTCATTTCTGAGTAATTTTCCAGCATGTGGCTATCCCGTGTTTTATTCATGTCCTCAAGGATGGTCCTTTATGTTGTCTCCATGTTTGGTCCTTGTGAATACTTCTGCCCTGGTTGTTCATGTACAACGTGTTGGGATGCTTGTTTTCAGTCCTGAGGGGAGAGGTCTCCCCAGCTGTCTCCAGCATCTTTTGACTCCTGATTTGTGGGTGGTGAGCTATTGAGAAGGACTTTTTCCTAAGAAAGAAAAAGGCAAGAGGGCTGCAGCTGGTTCCGGAGATGAAGACCAGGCAGTCAGATGGCGAGCACGGAGGGCCACCGTGACTGTGTTTCATGTGTGTGGAGACCACCCTCAGCACAGCATGGCATCCAGATTAAGAACTAAGCCCAGCCAGTGGGTGCTCTCCCACCCATTTTGTGCCCTCCCTGGCTCAGTACTATGGTATCTCCCCAAAGGTCCCTGTACTCCCTAGATAGGGGAAACCTCAGGACACTGTATAGTCACCCATATCCTCATGTGTAAACTGAGGCTTCCTATGAGCTCACTGGGTTATACAGATAGATTAACCAGAATCATTCTAAAGAGAAAGGGACTAGGACACTGAAGAGGGTCAGGCTGCTTACAATTCCGTCAAAGCTGGAGCTCTGGGGCATCCCAAGACTCAGTTCACTCACTCTCTGGCCCACAGAACTCCCTGACCAGCCTTCCAACATCAGTCAGCTCCAGAGGGTGTTGACCTCCCTTTCAAGTGTTTCTCCCATAGTCTTGACCCCAGAAGCCTCAGAGAACAACCATTGAGGGTGACATTTCAGAGATGGAGAAGGGGCAGTTGGAAGGGAGATCAGTGTGTCTGCCTGGACTTCATCTCTCAGGGGACGGAGCCTAGGAGATCTCATCTCTGTTCCCCTTCCAGTGAGAATCCCCCATCTCTTGGTGGTGGTCCCTCTTCTGGCTTCTGGGTGAGTTACTGTGGATCTCCACAGCCCACAGCATGCTCCATACCTGGGCCAACATTAGCGCCTTTTTGTTTCATTGCTGTGGAAATAGCCTGACTGAGTCACTTGCCTGAGGTCAAGTGTGGCTGTGTGACTGAGGTAGGGTTGGCACCAGGGGTGCTTTGAGCCTGAAGCTGTTTACGCTGAGTCCCAGGATCCTCTCTGGGCAATGCCCTCCTGTGAGCTTCAGAGCCTTGCTCAACCCACTTCAACCGCTTCCCATGGACCCCTCTGTGGTACTCCTTGATGTTAGACTCAAGGAAAGATGACCAGCCATCTCATCCTCTGGTTCTACAAGACTCTCCAGCAAAGCAACTCCTCTTCAGCACCCTCCTCCCACTCCTCACCCTGCTACCACATTATTCCCAAGGCCCTATGTGTACATGATTCTCTCTCTCTCTCCCCCTCTTCCCTCCTCCATACCTCCCTTGCTTTCTTCTTCTCATTCATTAACCCTTGGTTTTCTGAGACAGGGCCTTCCTATATAGTAGCCTAGACTGGCCTCAGACTCGTGATTCTCCCACCTCATCCTCCTGAGTGCTGGAATCACAGGCCCGCATCATCACACCCTGTTCCTCGCTCACACTTTGCTCCTCATTATACTATTTGTATTGCCTGTATTCTGGCCGTCTTCCAGGCCAAGAGATGCTAGAGTGGTTGGTGTTTGGGGCCGGTCTCTCTTGCTCCCGGGTTCGTTTGTGCTTAGCATATAGTCTATGCTGGCGGCAAGGAGGACAGCATACTACTTTCAGCCTGGCTACTGTGTACCTCGCCATCGCCTGTCTAGAGCACAGTCTTCCATGCAAAATCAAAGAGGTGCTGTGGCCCAGCAGGTGCCTGTGCGGGAGACACACGCATCTGAGCACAGAGAACAGTTGTGAGAACTCGTGGCACGCACCGGGGCCACCCAGAGGCCTGAGGGAGGCCATGTTTACTCCCAGCAGCCCCTGGGATTTGCTCATTCCTCTTGTGGTACAAAGGCCACCGTAAGAAGCTGAGACAAAGCTCTCTCTGGGCTGGCTGGAGAGGGGCCTCAGAGCACACACTTCATTGCTCTGGCTTCAGCCATTATCCTGTTTTTCTAAATATTGGTCATCCAGGACCCAAAGAGCCGCTCAAAGAGCATGGCAGGAAACACCGAGGGCACTGAGGAGCTGGTGGCCCTTTGTGTTTCTAAACAGGTTTTGCTGAGAAATTCTCGGCCTCCTGTAGCTGCAACTCTGATTTTTATCAATTTACCTCCTCCAAAAGGCACAGCCATTGTGTGGGCTAATTTGGATCCTCTGTCTTTATTTTTAAATGTTCTTTAGCTGAGAACCTTTATTTCTGTGTTTATTGGAGATTTACATGGGAAAGATAAGTAAGAGGAAAAAAAGATAAAAATTGCCTGTAAGCCCACCACTGAGGGATCACAGACGCAGTTACAGCGTGTGCCCGCCTTCCGCCTAGTGCGCCGTCTTACGTAGTCTTCTGTTTCTTAAGACAGATGTTACTCTGCACGGTCACAAGAATCAAGCTTACGGTGCCTTGCTTTGTCTTAAAATTTCCCGGTTCCCTTTGCCACAGTGACAGGAGAGAAACCCCGACCCAGCTCTCACAGACTCTCAACGTTATTATAGAATGGTTTACACCTCGTTCTGCCGCAGCTTGCATTAATTACTTCTGCTAGGTTTGCACAGCAGGCCTAGGGCTGTGTTGGCTGCTGCACTCAGTGGTCCTGCCGAGTGTAGACTGCACAGCCCACCGTGGGTGTAGACTGCACAGTCCACCGCGGGTATAGATTGCACAGTCCACAGAGGGTCATGTGGAGTGACAGGGCCCCTGGGAAGCACAGCACCCTGTGATTGAGCTTTTTTCAGGGTCTGACAGAGAAGGAGGTCAGCAGTTCTGTCAGCTCTGGGTGGGGCCGTGCCTTCTGTGAGGGGCACCTCAGACTGCCTGTCACCTGCCCCGAGAGAGGCCTGCAGGTCAGGCTATCCCCATTGGGAGATTCCAACGTGATTTTGTGGTTTGAAACAGTTGTGAAAATGGCAAGTCTGTCTGACCCTTTCCTCCCTCTCCAACAGAAGCCTGGGATGGTCCCCCCTCCGCCGGGAGAGGAGAGCCAGACGGTCATCCTTCCACCTGGCTGGCACAGCTACTTGTCCCCTCAGGGCCGCCGTTACTATGTCAACACGACTACCAATGGTGAGTCTCACTCCGGAACAGCCCTTTCTAACCCTCAGATGTCTGCCTCTTCCTAGGGGTGCTTTTCTCCCCCACTCTACACCCTCTGGTTTGGGGGCCTTTCTTGTTAAATTTGACTCGAGGAAAGGTAGCTTGGCGTCTTAACCCTCTGGTTCTAAAACTGTTTACCATATCCCAGAGGGCTCCAGTAGAGTCCTGCTCATCCCCGGGGCTGGGTGTTGGGGCCTGGGTCTGCATTCTGGAAGCAGCTTCAGGGGACAGCTGTACCTCAAGATTCCCCCAATCCCTGACACTTCACATCCACCTTCATTGAGCTCAACCTTAGGATCTAGGACTGAACGGTTCAGAAATGACCTCAGAGGCTAGTCCAACAGGTCAATGTAATCTATATTGTCTAGGGACTGTACTAATGGAACTGAAGATTCAGAGGCTGTAAATTCTCTCCCTGATTTTACTGTAACACCCTTTTCTCAACTGAAGTATCTCACTGGCTGTTTTGTGGATTGTCCATTTGGAAATGGTGGGGCTATGTGCGGACCATTCATCCTCTCTCTTAGCACTGAGTCTCTGCCTTCCACCTCTGTCTTCTCCATACTCTTTCCTTTCTTTTCCCCTCCCCTTCTCTCTTCTCTTCTCTTCTCTCCTTGTTCTTTTGAAACAGGGTCTCATTTGGTAGGCTAGGCCGGCCTGGAATTCACCGTGTAGCCCAGGCTGGTCTTGAATGCATGCTAGTTCTCCTGTGACAACCTCCCAGGAGCTAGGATTCGAAGGCTATATTCAGCCACCCAGCCACTCCCCACATACCTCTGAGCTGAATGGGACTGGAGCTCCATGCTCCAAAGAGTTACATTCTCCTGGACCTCCCAAATGACTCCAGGACCCCAAATGTGGAGATGGTTCTACAATGCTGTGCTGTACAGCTAGTCTTGGCACAAGTTAAGCAGGACACTGCTCAGGTTGAGGGCAGAAGTATAAGGAAAGCCAGCTGAGAAGTCTTGACCTCCTATATCCCCAAGGACTGTACCTCAAGAAAACCAGGAGAAGCAACAGAAGGGAAATTAGACTTGGTGGGCATTGCAGACACATGTGCCAAGGCAGAATGTGGCTGTCTACCTGTTGGTTCCAATATTGGCCTCTCTTATGTCTTCTGTGCCCATCTGACTCCAAAACTCTATCTTGTCACCTGGGACAGGGAGGTTATTAACACGATTAATGATTTTGAACCTGCACTAAGAGGAGGGGTCCCAGAGAGAGGACAGCCAGCAGCCATCTAGAGGGGGACACAGAGAAGCTGACAGCTGCTACTTTGGATAGCTGGCTTGTGCATACCACAAGCACCCTAACCTGCAGACTCAGCAGGGTGTTCCCCTTGAAGATAGGTGGCCAGGGTTTCTAGGAAAAGGGAAGTGGGGCTGTTTTTAACTGTTCTAATCTCACACTTCCTCAAAACAAACCCTTGAGCAGCTTTGCCCTGCTCAGGGAGCCTGGATGTTTCAGAGGTGCATGCGGCTGCTTGAATGTGCTTCCTCCTGGGGAGCGGCTGCTTCAGTGCGGTTCCCCAGGGGAGTGGGTGTCTGCACACAGATCTCCATCTGTGTAGTGCAGAGTTTGGATGGGATGAGCTCAAGAGCAAAATTTAGGTGGATTTGTTCTTGTCTCAAATTAGCCAGTCTGTTGCAAAGGGGAATAGATAACGTGCCTTTCTAGAGTCTCTCTCTCTCTCTCTCTCTCTCTCTCTCTCTCTCTCTCTCTCTCTCTGTCTCTCTCTCTCTCTCTCTCTCTCACACACACACACACACACACACACACACACACACACACACACACACACACACACCTCAGTAAAAGAATGGTATGTTCTCAGGGTTAAAAAGCCAATGAATAAAAATGGGATTCAAATCAACATTGAAAATCCTCAGTCGCATTTCCCAGAGCTATTTATCACATATATCCTTTGAGGCATTTGTGTTCTCTATCTTCCAAGCATAGGCATGCTGGTGTTTTTAAAATAAATTACAAATGCTATCCATCCTATCCTCTAAATCATGACAACGATTTATTGTAGACATTGTTCTATACTTTGAATATTTCCATCTAACTCATTCCTTTTCATCGCTGTGTATTAGGAATGTGCTGCCATTAATTTAAGTACTACTCTACGTAAGAATGGAAATGTAGCCACATTTTATATCAACAGACAGTGTCTGGAGGCTCTCTTCCAGGGTTCTGACTTTTCAGACACCAGTAAGTCAGAGCTTCTTTGGGGTTGTGGGATGCTGAGTGCTCCTCAGATTGACAAGCTGATTCTCTAACAGACCAGGCAGTAAATAGTTTAGATTTGGAGGGTCATGGTCTCTGTCACAGCTACTTAACTTTATCACTGTAGCATGAATAGTAATGTAGACTATAGTATGTAAGCTAGTGAGTGCAGCTACATTCTAATAAAACTTTATGTATAGCAAAAAGGGGGAGGACATTTATGTTTGGACACTGGAATACGAATCGCAGGTAACTTACATGTGTTATGAAATCACATTGTTTTTATTTTTGAACATTCAAAACTACAGAAGATGATCTTGGTTCACAAGTTCACCAGCCTTGTGGTAATAGGGTGGGCTGATTTACTAGGTTGTCTAGTGGGTCCAGTAGGACTGGCCCCTCCCCCTTTCTCTCTTTTACTGAGTAATCCTAACTCCCTGGTCTTGCATTCTGGATGCCGGTCAGCTTTACTCACTCATTAGGTAATTGCTGTATGCGTTGTTTTTCTGTTCAATTCAACACATATTCATTGGGCCTCTAGTATGTACCATGAAGAAGGGCCTTGCCCCTAAATTGTTTATCTGCTCATAGTGGGTGCAGATCTTAAAGCTTGTGTGCATGTGTGGGAGTACAGGAGGGGTGTCTGTGAGTGTTGCTGGGGAATGAACCCCATGTTCTAGGCAAATACTGTATCAGTGTGCTATACCGGTAGCCCTGGAAGCAGATTTTAAGTGAATGCTTGCTTGATTATCCATGAGAAGGGCTGTGAAGAGGTTTGAGGTATTTGAAGTTAGTGTCACAGAGAGCCTGTGGGGCCCAGGATGTCCCTGCAGATAGGAAAGGCCAGGAGGAGGCAGAATGGGAAATGTTTTTCCCAGCAGTCCTGAGTGTGCTTAAAGATTACTACAGGGTCAAGAAAAGAAGCAAGCAGCTTCGTCTTTCCTTCCAAATGTTGGTCTGACTGGGGTTTCCTCTCACCCCTGCCTGTTTGGGGGCCACCTGCCTGTCTGTAGCAGAAGTGATCCTTGTTTGCATCCTAGCCTCTGTCTCACATCCTGACTCCTGAGGCCTCTGAGTTGGTACCCTCACTGCTGGACTCCCCTTTCTGTCCCAACTTGCATGCTTCACGCCAACCCCTCCATCTGTCCAGGTGACTGGTCACGGACAAATCGGGTCCACTACCCACTGCTGAGAGCCACTGAGTACACTCTTTTCATCCTCAAAGAGGATAATTTTCAAACACAGATGCTCCTCAAGGTGACGTTCAAGATCCGTAATTAAAAAAACAAAATGAAACAAAACCCACAGACGCCCCTGTCCTTTATAGAAGGAGGTGTAGTGTTTGACAGAACCTCCACCCACCTTCCCTCGGACTTGAAGTCATTTCTAGTTATGTATAAGACCAATTCGACGTCAATGCTATGTAAATACCTGTTACTCTGTATTGTTCAGGGAACAGTGACTAGAAAAAATGCCTGTGCACGTTCAGAGAATATGCAGCTGTCTCCCCTCTGAGTATCTCAGCCCTCTGTGACTGGTAGAATGCACCAGTGCAGAACCCAAGGATCCTGAGAGTCGCCTGGATTTCCTCCTGCCCCCTAATCCCTAATCTGTCTTCCCCCAGAGGGCACCTGGGCATAATAAGTATTCTGTGCAAAGCCTCATTTACATTGCTGTCCCCTGATAATCTGCTTGCTTTCTCATCCACTTAGGATTTCATGGATGAGGGTCTGTGCCCTGCTTGCCACCGGGTCAGGCCATGGGCATACAAAACCACATGAGACCCAGGCCCTGCTCTCAGAGACTGTAGCTCCAAAGGGGTCAGAGAGACAGTCAAACACCTGCAAGAATTGCAGGCAGTGATGAAGCGGGGTGGGAGCTCCAGGGAAGGACTCGCCACTTGCTTGTGGGGAGTGCAAGGACTCTGAGGAGGGGTCCGTGACAGTGGCATCTGACCAAGGTTGTAGCCCAAGCCGAGGGTGAGGCAGCAGGAGGAAGGCAGGTGGACAGGGTTGGCAGTGGTAGGAACATAGAGGTGAGGGAAAGCCGGGGTGAGACATGACTCTTCACCCAATGGGCAGTGGCAAGCCGTGGAAAGTTTCCAAACAGTGGCAGGACCGTGTCACAACCTGACAGCAAGACTTCTCATGCAGCAGTGAAGGATTTGGGAGCAGCGAGCACAGAGTAGACAAGCCTAAATGAAAAATGAAATAATGAGGTCAGCACAATCTACGGAGGTGGCCTGAGAGGGGGGTGGGGGCTGAACTCTGTCAGACAGGATGTGGCAGGCCAGTGGCAGGGAGCTTGCCTGCTTCCTGGCTTTTTGCCTTGTGCAGCAGTCATGAGGTGAGAGTGGAAGACACTCAGAAGCCAGCCGGAAGGAAGGAGGTGAATCGGTACTGCATGGTTGGTTCCTTGCTGCTGCGTCTTCACAGAGAGATGGCCAGCACATAGATGGGTGCATCTGTGGCTCAAAGGACATGCCTGCCACCAGTGATGGAAGTCCAGAGAGAACCCTGTGGGTGCATGGCCCAGCATGCAGAGAGCAGAGTGGCTTCCACCCCTACTGGCCACCACTGTGCAGTGACCAACACGCACAGCTGAGTGGGGCGGTCTAGAATGTGCATTTCCTTAGAACAGGGCTCCAGACACATCACTCCGTTCTAGCCTGCAGAAGAAAGCTCTGAATACAGAGCTAAGGAGGGCACCTCAGAGACAGAGAGAGACTGGCGGAGATAGGA